GACCATCTTAGCTATAAATAGCTAGTACCCAAGGTTACTACTTAACTGTAATACCCTCAACAAAATGAGACTAGGTGTCTCAAGTAGCCCCCATAGACAACAATGTGATTATTTTTTATGTTTGATCAGAATAGATGTTAAATGTTACTCTAACTTGAATTGAAATTATTTTACACGTTAGTAAATTTTCAAACCTCGTACAAATTAGCACAAATTCTTGATTTAACCAATATTTTGTATAGTTAAGTTATTGTTTTCAAAATTTTTCAATTGTAAAATTTTTGCATCTCTATTTTTTTGAATTTAAATTTTTAATGAAAAAAGTACAATAGTATAGCTTTGCAACATATTATTTAAAAAAACTTTATGTGATGAATGCAAAAAATTCATTAAACCAAAATATTACAAATGAAAATTTTATTTCTTTATTTCTTAAAACTTAATAACTAAAAAAATTAATCATTATATTTTAGATGCGAAAAAATTTTAAGATTTTTATTTTCATTTATTAGTATTTGTTAAAATCATTCATAAATTTATTTAACGAAAAAATTAAATTGTTATAAACTTATGTTTTTTAATGTGTTGTGAAGTGCTATTTTTATGTTGTAAGACAACATTATGTTGCTAAGATTAACTCCGATTTAGGATTATTTTCAGGATCTACATATTTAGTTTAGTCGATGGTGTTGGGTATGTATATCCAGCGTTTGTGTGTTACTCAAGACACACTTGTAATATACCTCTCACGAGTGAGCTTTCCGTTGTGGACGTAGCTTCTCCAAAAAGAAGTGAACCACGTTATACGCAAGTGTCTCATGTTGGTGACTTGGCTTGAATGTTTCATTGAGTTCCTCAATTTTATGTTTACAATTGGTATCAGAGCATGGTTATGCTAGTGATCGCAGAGTGACAATGAGCTTGTGTCGTTCTTGAAATTTTTATGACTGTTTTGAAGTTTCTCTGAGTTTGAGAAGTTAATGAACTGTTGTAACACTAGGGTTTAGAGAGAACCTCACTCAAAGATGAAAACATAAAACAAACACAAGTGTACCACAATTTGCTCCCCTAATTGGCGTTTATGTTACTCTGATTCCCAAGTAGTCCTATTTACAACTACATGTTAGACACCTCCATGGCAGCGTGAATCAATAGGCCGATTACTATGTCATCCCATCATTTGTCGCCTATTTGCAAGTCATAACATGTGAAGATCAAGTCATCTACACCTTCGAAGTACATTGAGAACAAATTCATCGTCCAGCTGGAATAACATAAATAGATGGAGTTAGGCACAGCATGTGTCATCCCCTATAATATCTATCACACACTAACATACGAGACGCTTGACTAGTTGCTCCACATAACATGCACTTTAAGCCAGCAAGTATTGTTGCCAAGCTTGTTTACAAAGTACCATCCATGTTTGGAATGTGACATGACGCATAGTTGCGTACATGATCCTTGCGAATAATACCATCACAATTCTCCAACATAAGAATTCCAAAATATAACACCTCTCGCATTCGCTTCCTACACGTTGAAGATAGTAGAAGATAGTAGAAGATAGTGCGTCCCACCATCACATTCAATGTTGTCGGTGCAGTCTAATATAGATAGATGTAGTTCCTCACATGGAACCTACAGATTGATGGTCGATAACCTCCTCCCCGGATAATTTTGTACCGCAACGTATCCCTTTGCTGAGCAATTGCAAGGTTCTCAATCACTGCAAGCATGACTCTTCGAAAGAGATCTACATGTTGAAAAAACACTCTCATCCACATGTCTGGGTCATAAAGGTTCATCATCTCACTAGGCCTCCAACGAATTATTGTCGGCATGTATGGATCTTGGCCGCACAACAATAAATGTGGTGAGAAGAAACTCAAACATTCTTTGGACGTAAATATTTCATCACATTTATTGATGACCTTTCATGATATATGCATGTGTATTTGATACAACAGAAGTCTAAAGCTTTTGCCAAGTTTCAAGAATTCAAATCGATGGCTAAAATGTACGTGAACAAGCGCATCAAGGTTCTGCGATCATATAATGCTCTTGAATACAAATCTTGAGCTTTTAGTGAATTTTGTACGCTTCATAGTATTCAACGATAGTTTTTTATTTCTAATACTGAACAAAATAACAGAATTTTTCGAACAAAACAAAATAGCTGAACAGAATAATTGTACTTTGATCGGTTCAGTTGTCACTATGCTGACACATTCTGGTATTTCACATGATTATTGGAGAGAAGCCATCCATATTGATGTTTACTTGCAAAATACATATCCATCAAAGGTTCTACCCAACGACATAACCATTAGCTATAGAAAGTCATTGGTGTCATAATCAGAATTTAAGTTTGTTAGTTGAAAATGAGAAAGAGAAGTAAGTAAGTAGTAAATGGGAGTGTTAGAGTACTGTCATACTCCCTATTAGTTCTTGTCTTTTCTCTATTATACTTATAGTTAGAATTGTGTTGTGATGTAGACTACACCTGTGATGTAACGGCCACCATAACCGTTATCCACTATGGAGATGTGTCCCACTATGTCTATTCATTTCCTTTGTTGCCTCAGATTGATTATTTGAATACATGAGTAGATCCTGTGTTTTAATCAATAACTCTTATGTAAATACTTCCTTAGAGTAAGTAACATGTGTCTTTCCATTCTTGCATTGCTCTCTAGGTTCTTTTCTAATACCTTTTGTAGCTCATACTTGCGCAACGCTCTCTTCACTTTATGTACAACACATTCAGCCAAACCATCCGACTCTAGATGATCTCGAGTAGTAATCTGATGATCAATCAACGTCTTGTCACACAAGATATGAAACTCTATACCCTAATCAATCAACATCTCAGCTGATGCACCAAAATGACTAAGCATCCTGTCAAGGGAAGCATACGCTGCTCCCTCACTCGTCTTGTCAAGTAATGTCATCAACTCAATCCACTTGGAAAAATTCTCCATCATCGTCAACACATATCGATGATGTCGTACAATCATAATATAATGATCTAGCAAAATCCAAACTCCAACAAGAATCCAATTCTATGATAGGCAAGGGGTGTAACTTTGGTGTTGGAGCATTGAACGATGCATTCACTAGATCACAAACCATGCAATGTTATACCAATTACTCTAACTGAGTATGCATACCACGCCATCAATACTGACCAAGGAGTAAGTTGTATGTATGCTTCACTTCAAAATGTCCCAATTTCTCATGAGCATGTCGCACAATACGCGCTCTTTGAGTTGGATGCGGTACCATTGATACCCTACCATCCTGCCACATTCAAAGAACATGTGCTTTCTCCAACCGATACCTCTTCACCCGTTGGAAAACACAATTTTAGCTCTCAGACATTCATTATGCTTGACATCATACTAGTCCATAGGAACTCCAATACTAATGCATGAATATCACACTGATTCATACCCTCATCTTCAACCTCAAGATCTGAAGATTAATCATCCCCTATTTGACTAGGGTAAGATGTCAAGTGACCCTCCCTACTTAAGTCTCCACATAACAAACACAAGAAGTCATATGCATGCCAACTGAACACCATCTCCTTATCAACCTCATCATGTCATCTAGCTCTAGTGTCATCCTCTTGGCTAATGCATAGTTTTCGACTCAAACCATCGACATCAATGTCTTTGATAATCTTGCTAATGCATTTTGGATAGTTCAAGAATTTGAATGTATGTGCAACGAGGACGTTGTGTCTTAAAAAATTGGAGGTTTATAATCATCTTTAGTTTATTAGAATTAAAGTAGAGGTTACTCGAGATAAAATTATAGTTAGTTTATTCATAACTATCATGTCAACATTTGCGTGCTTAATAGGTATAGAGTAAGTGTGTTGATTCATAGCTTCATGTGAACGATCCATGTACTTGCTAGGTGAGAATTGAATGTGTTAGTTGAAATCGTCTCGTCAACAATCCGTATTCTTGTTAAGGTTATATGCCATGTCATCCATCCATTATGAATGAAATGGATAATGATATCTTATTTTTTTATTTTTTCGGTTAAAATTATATAAAGAAAAGTATAATCATTGTTTATATTTTTCAAGTTAAAAATTTATGTTTTCATATTAGAATGAATGTTTCTCTAAATTTTAGTGTTACATAATCTCAATGTTTAACAATACCAACAATATTGTTTCTATACTAATATTAAAAATAAAATTTGAGATGAAAATTTTATATTCTTACTTTAATAAGATTGAATATGTACTTTCACTATAAGTGTTTAAGTATTTTTGAGACTAATAATAAAGACATGGTTAATCATCTTTGTTCATTCCTTTCAAGTGTATTTCAATATACTATTTTGACTTTCATGAATTTATCTGCAAAATCTTGAATGGAAGGGATTGAATTGAAACCAAACAACGTTACATTCTCAAAGGTTTACCCCAGGAGTTTTTCTAGAGTTTTGATAAACATGTTTACATGACAGTTGATAAGCATGTTTAGAGGTTGATCAAATTTCTATATAGTGTTTGCTCTGATTTTATAATAAATGTATCACTGATTTAAAAAGTCTTGCATTGTTATCATCTCTAAAACTTAATTTTCATTATATCTCATTAAATGAAAGCGTTAGAAAATTATATTTTAGTTCAAAATTGCATCATTTTTTGCATCATAACAAAGTAGAAGTAGGAAAGTAGTAACTTCCAAGGTTTTGACTACATGTTGGAGTGAGATGTCCGACGTGCTTTCAAGATTGAGATTACTTTCCTAGAGTTCAGAATCTGGCCACTCAATTTGCAAGAGTATGTAGCTTTTAAGCTTCTTTTATTTTCGCTTGGCCGATATGCACAGCCACCATGATATCCAGCTTGATAATTTTGGTCTAGGCTCGGTCCGAACCAAACCGACAAGTTCACATATTAACAGTAAAGCGCAAAGACTGTAATAGCGGATCAACACGCACGATTCAAAACAGTTAATAATTTGAATTGTGTGTGATAAATATCCTAATACAACAATTTCTGCTTGCCGTATTCTGGAGCTTGCAGGTAGCATTGCAAAGAGCAGGTAAATCATAATGAAAGGTTAGAGCAGTCCATATCCTACACCGGAAATATAAAGATTTACTCGTCCAAGTTAGAACAAGAATGTAGTCTTTCTCTACGAGAATTGGCGTACCCCGGCGCGGCTAGAGATTTGTCTGCTGAGAAGCTTGCTTGGCATCTACTAGGCGGTTTACAGTCAAAAATATTACATTCGGTTGCTAATCTAGGGGGCTCTTCTAACAGCTGTAAAATCTCTCCGTGCATGTATTTCCTTTAATCCTTGGGGCTTCTGGTGATAAAATAATTAGCAGGTGAGTAAGATCTTGGTCACTAAGGATTACTAAATGTTTAACCGTCTGTCGATCAGATTTTGAGGACTCAAGTCATGGCAGTCTTGGTAGTCACACTTGAGAAACATTTAGTGGTGTGAAAAAGCCGCAGCACTCAGGCAGTCTACGTTGATTCCAAACAAAGCCAGTAGAGGTATTTAACTAATGCCTTACACCTGGAGATTGTTAAGGCTCACACCTCTACTGTTGTTGAAGGCGTTTCCATCATCCTCACTAAACCATTACCAACAACATGTCTACCAGGAGTGGACGACCTTGTCTTGTTTGGGATAGATAAAAGCTGTGGCATGTAATATGCCTTGTCTTGTGCAATTTCAATTCGTTGACGAGGATCATACATGTTCTCATCTCTCAGGGCCTGCAATATACCTTCTGGCTGAAGGTCCCTGCATGACAGTTAAGCAATTTGCATTGAATCAGGATTCAGGGGATACATAATGGACAAAGGAGGATCAGGTAAACGACAGTGGGACCGAAGCTGAGGTCCCACTGTCGTTTAAAAACATCACGCAAAGGTGAAAAAACATTCTCTACCAATGGGAAACATCACTGACCCAAGACCAACGTGAATAATGCACATGTCAAATGATTATACTACAGGGCTGAAAGCTTCTATTGAATGGAAAGCGCTAGAGTTATCTGGAAATTAAAGGAAAAAACTTGACGTTTACGTGCTATGGGATAGATCCAGCCCTAAACAAGAAAATTTTGAGACCATATACGTAAAATTTGGGCGTTTCCCGCCTGAACAGCGTATGTCTGAGGTACCCATAATCCGATGATCCACACAAGAAGACAACACGCTAACTACAACTAAATGAAAAAAAATAGTAATTTAAAAACCGATCCACTTATGAGGAACACCAACTTGGATCTACGAAAATGATCCCATCCAGATTTTTAAAAGGATATAAAACATGGAATTCTTACCTTTGAATCAGTATTTTGTACAGAGTTTGCAAGATCGGGCAGAGCTCAACGGGAGCAACGGGCTTATTGAGTTCAGGATGGATGACACTCAAACTGGGTTGCCGCAATAATTCATGAAATGCTTCTACAGCTGAAACTCCCTGCATATTGATATGGAAAATGTTAAAGTGAAGAATAAGCACGAGGAAACCACTAGGATTTTGCATCTATTTCAGCTTTAGTACACCTTAAGAATACTATGCTATAGAAACTTCATGATTCATAAGTTTTAATGACTCGAAGGCTTCACAACGGATAAGTCAAGGCTCTCAGAGACAGCAAAACGGAAAGTAAAAAACCTCCAGAACAAGGCCTGTGGTGAGATTAATTAGTACCTGTATCATACCCTTTCCTTTGATACTATCACCCATGTCAGGTGTGAGTTCACCCGTGGCCAGCTGGTGTCCATACCAAGCATTACGACCTTTGAGAAGAGTGACATATGTGTCGGCAAGTAAAGGACCCGCTAACCTTTCTGGTTCCTCGGAAAGTAAGTGGGTGATGTAGATCATTTCTGAGGTACACAAAGCAAAATATACGGACTTGCTCGTGGCACTCTCGTTTGTCAACTCAGCAACCATGCCTGTTAAACATAAAGATGGCATAAAGATGGCCGTTAGCATCTCCGAACCCGATGCTAAATGATGCTCTAGCAAGTACTGACATGTCTCTGAGAATTCTTATTCTTTCTGCTTCCGTCAAAATCTCGTTATTAAGAATAGTGAGTCTTCAATTTTCACAAGTGCATAGTTCCTTGATGACTCGGTAGTGCCACATTTGACATCCGCTCAAGGTGAATTCTCCTGGTCTTCCCGACGATTACCACCACTTACATTTAAAAGCTAAAGGGTACATTTCAGGTCGAAGTAAACAAACCACTAAAAAGGACACACTATTTCCTGAAAGCGTACAGGTCATTGAAAAGTACAGGATCCCATACCAGCTCCGATGGCGTACACATTTTTAAGACCTCCCATAACTTCGTGGGTAACCAGATCAGAATTGTCCCAAACAATAAAATGCGGCTGTCGCAGAAATCGTGCCAACGGTTTTCTCCACTTTTCGGAACCACATATTCTGGCGTTAGCATACTCCTTGTTGTATACTTCTGCAGCGATGTTTGGGCCTCCGAGGTAAAGAACTTGTTCGATGGGAACACCAGCTATGACATGCCAAAAGCGATGTCAGTAGAGTCTTGAAGCTCAAACTTAAATTGATCTCCAGGCTTCAAGACGATGATAGATTAGGAGATTAAAGAAGAAAAGCTCTGCCAGCTTATGCCGGTATAGGAAGATATTGATATGAGCGATTGCCATCTTGTGACATACAGCCTTGGTAAGTTCTTTGTTAGCTTCTACACGCCTGGAAAAAATTCTCCCTCACTCAACAGATTCCTAGGCAGAACTACATCATGTCCTGAAGTATCATAAAGTATCCTGCATCCACGACATATACGTATCTCACAACAAAATCTATCTTCGGTGTAATAGAACGACGATGTGAAACGCAAACAAGAGATCAGCAGCAGGAAAGTCTCTCACTTGAGTCCAAGATCATTTTCGTGGGCGTCACAATGTGTGGTACAGGTTTGATTGATGCCTCCACACCCTTCGCCAGCGATATGATCAGAGGCATTGTTCGCCTCTCTCGCCAATAACGTCCAATTTGCTCAAAAACCGCGCGCGTCTCCGTGGATGGAAGACCGTTCACGACGATGTCAGCATCCCAAACTGCCTCCTCGAGATTCGTGACAACTTTTAGTGGACAGAGGGGAGTGTCCAGCATGTTGACACAAAAGCCGTCCCTCAAAATTTCATCTGCGTATAAGGTCCGATCACCTAGACGGCCCTCTACATACTTCAGATACGCGCACTTTCGAATCAGTCGTCGAAGAACATCCTCCCGCGAGTTAATTACTTCGAAAAGATGCTTCGCTGAGGCGCGATCGACTGCTTTTCCCCCTCGACGCCATATGCGTACCTAAATGCGTCAGCATTGGAAAATGTCCACACCAGCATCGATGTTAGCGACGAATTGTGGATCGGAGCAGTCGAGAAAACTGCGTCAGATGCTCGTATCAAAAGTACAGAAACAAGCTCAAATGCACAACAGGAGGCAAAACTTTTAGGGCAGAGAGAGGCTTTTGCAATGCACTGCATAAATGCTTGACGTGTATACCGGCAGCGCACACCTGGACTGAATCGCGCATATGCCCGTAAGCATCCTGCAGCATGGCAATGAACACACTTCCCCAAGCACCTGCACCAACTCCCACAATTCTCAAGGCATCGCCATCCTGTTTATTCAACAACTTTCGCAGCTCCTGCAGTCGCTCTTCAGTCTGCTGCTGCGCTGGTTGTACAGTCTCCCTGAAGCCCTCATCTCCAGCCATAGCTAACTTCCACTCCGACAAAACACCTTAGTGCATCAGTTACCCGCCTCCTCCTCCACGGCCACCCTTCCTTTCAACAGATCAAATTCCACCTCCTCTGCCTGCTGCTGCTCCAGCATACACTTCCTTCCCCTACTAAAGCTTCCCTCCCCCAAATTCGCCCTCACAACTTCATCCCACCATTCATACTTGTCTTCTGTGTCCCAACCAGACATAAAATCTCTTGACCTCTTTTCGCAATCAATCTCCTGTCTCTCTATCCTTGCCTCAAAACTGTACAGAATATCGCCAACCCCCGCGCACGGTCTCTATCTGTCCGGAGCGACGCCAACGCCGATGAAATCGCCCCAACTGCGCTCACTCCCTCAGTGCCAACAGCGGCAACGGCGACAAAGATGCACCAATCTATACACCCAACTTCGCTACACCACCCGCACAGCTCCTATTGTCCTGATTCCAATCTATCCGATATCTTCCGCTCCCTCTCACTCCCACTTCTGCAACTTCTCTTCCAGCATTTCTCCTGTGAGTTATTGACGAGTGCAGAGAATCCACCTTCTGCTGCTGGCGCTCGTGGCACCGATCAGATGACTGGCAGGCAGTCAGGTGGGTAGACACGCAGAAGGAAGGGCTCAACAGGACAGAGGGAGGGAGCACAGTGAAAGCTTCACTCACTGAAGCAAAAATCAGCAGCAAGTGCCCTACAGAAGCAGCAGCAGCAGCAATGCAGCGAGTTCTGCAGACAAAGACAAAATGGCGTTCGTAACACGACACATAAAACCTCGAGAAAATAGGCACCTGGGCCAGTAGTTGTTCGTAGTTCAGCCAGTCACTCTTCTGCCTGCCTGCCCTCCCCAACTGAGCGAACATCACTTGCACTCAACCGAACCAAAACGCGTGGAAACCGCCGAAAGAAGCCTCAGCGGTTGGTTTGACCTGACTAGACTCGTGGCCTCTACACTACACAACACCGTAATATGCTATTATCATCGGGTCAACTTGCGTGTGGGTGGGCTGTGGGATGGAGTGGGATTCGACCCAGATCAAAAACATGGCTTTAGGCAAATGTTTCGGAGAGTTGGCACCAGATTCCCGAGTGAAAGAGTGCGCTCTCGATTGCAACTCGAAATCCTCGTCCCGTTTAGGAAAACCAGATCCTGAAGTGTTGAATGCTGATCACCGATTATCATCCCAAGTTTATTTTAGGAAAGAAGCCCGACGGTGAACTCCAAAAGAACACATGCTTCTTAACTCTTGACTAACATGGCCTCCTTGTAATATGTAGCGTTCCACGATGCCACAAATCCATTCAATTCCTGCCTCGGATTTCATGGCATCTCTTTTATAGTTGGAAAGAAACTCCCTTTCCACCAACTTCAATGAGTCCTCAGTCCACCAAAAAGCCCAGGAACAAAAAAGTCCTCCCAAAAGCAAACATTCCTTGTTCCAGTTCATAGGGTCGAAAGAATCATCATCATGCCCATTATAAATAAATTTAATAAGTAATTCGAACTAAAATTTCAAAGAATTAATAAAAATTAATAAATATGAATGAAAGAGTTGTATATCGAGTTCCGTGACGGTAATGATAGACCGGACCCATTCCTAGTACATGTCTCTTCATTCATAAGAAGATGATGGTTTCTTGAAAGGACCAAACCCCATCAAAGAGCGGTTGCAAGAACGGGGACGAGAGCTGCCGAGCGTCATCTTAAGTTCCCATGGAAACAAGGTTATTACCACCCGATGCTCTTCCTCCGAATCCCGACAAGCTTTCTTGCTTCCAAATCCACATCCTTGAGACTCAAGGGGATGAAATTGCTCGAACTGCGATCGGGAGGAGGAAGAGGACGAGGTCCGAAATTTTGCGCTCGGTGACTGGAGGCAGGAATGTGGCGAGCAGCGCTGACAGCGCGAGATATATATATCCAGAACGAGGCGCGGGGTAGGGCCCGCCCGCGCCAGGCCTGCCCGCGGGCGCGCCTGCCGCGCTGGCAATTCCATGGGCTTGGCTTGCTGCTGTCGGTCGGTCGGTCGGTCTCGTCCGACTCAGCGACCTTTCCGGCGCGCCCTCGTGGCTGCGTCGAAGTCCGGACCTTCGCGGCTGGGGAGCAGTCGATTTGCTCCACCGATCGAAACGGGCCTGCCAAGTGTCGTCGCCTCGAGCGCTCGCGCCGTGGACCGGCGCCGACGGTCGCTCCCGATCCCGAGTCCGACCGCTCTCGATGCTGAAGCCGTGGCCCGCGAGCGTGTAACGAGGCGCCTCACATGGTCCACCTCTGACAGCCGGTCTCTCCCTCCTCCTCCTCCTCCTCCTCCTCCTTCGCCCTTCTCGCAGCTCTTCGCGACATTGCGCTTCTTGGACACGAAGGAAGATCGAAGAAAGTGCGTCGACTTCTCGTTGCTCGGAAGGATGCGAAATTCCCGAGCCCGAGCCCGATTGAGGTTCTGGCGTCCACCTCGTGCCCAGCTGCTGTTGGTACGATTTCTTGTTCGAGCTTGGGTACCTCTCGTTCACGAGGGCGGTTGTCGAAGCCGAACCTTTTCTCGATAAATTCGTTTTGGCTGTATGCTGTTGGTCTCGAGTTGGCGCGGAAGCGAGGAAGTCGAAGCAGAGGTTGGGCAGGGGATGGAGTAACAATTCGTCGTTGTCGCACAAAAGAGAAAATTCGCATGATTGCGAACTTCTCGTTCCTCTCGATTGCAGGTGTTCTCTCGTCTGGGCGAATGCGCACGTCATTCGACTGTGCGCTTTCTCGTCTGTGCTCCTCCTGACTTTGATGGACAAGTCCATCAAATGTGGACTGTGGGACTGCGCTGCGAACAGATTTATGCCTTTCAGTCCCGAGGTTTGGTGTGCCAATTACTGCGAAAGTATGATGCGCCTCGGACTTTCAGAGAATAAGAATAAAAGTAACTGTCTCGATGTTCAGGAGATATGTGATAAAGTTGATGCTTCATTCCTTTACCGCCTTTGCTACAGTAAGTCCTAAAGAAGGTAAAAGAGGGATTTAATGAACGAACAAAAATATTCTTTCAAAATTCATGCAAAATGCTCCATATCTCTTTTTATTCCCTGATGGACTAAGGTCATATTGTAGCCATAGTAGATTTGTCTATCACGAATAATGAACTGGCAGGCGCAAGTTACATCTTTCAAACAATTTCTCCTTTGTCTTGATTTTTTTTTTCTCCTTTTCAACCACACAATGTATCTATATATGAGTGTCCTTTCATCACAATCATATATTTAACATATCAAATTTTCACCATTTCAAAGCTAGTGCAACATCTTTGAATAATTAAATGGTTTGAATCTTAATTATAATTATAGAAATAAGGAAGTGTTCCTTGTAGTATAATGTCTATTGCGTTGTTGGTGTCATTAACGTTATAATGTAGATTAATATTTTTGCGTGTTAACGTGCTCATAGATTTTAGTTATATCAGTGTGACTAAAATGACAAGTTTAGATCTTGACTCATAGATAATGGAACTTTGATGAAACCATTGATTAGTCCAGGAATATGTATTATATGATTGTACTGTGATACTTTATGCAGCCAAGAAAATCAATATTTTGGTGAATTTTGGGACAGTGAATGCTTTTGTATATATATATATATATATATATATATATATATATATATATATCGTGATTGATTATTTTTTTAAGTGTGAAAAAATGAATACGATATTTGACTTTTGATATAATTTCTACATTTTTTTCATAAATATAAGATTATTTGAAATGAAATTGAATTTATATATTTAAAAGTATTTTTAAATGATTGAAATTAAAATTGTTCAATGATGAAAGAAAAAATTCATTCAAATTTTATATAAACAGGGGTATGGGTTTCTTGATTTAAAATATGATCACAAATTTATAACTTACTATATTTTCCTTTGAAATCAAAATTGTAATTAGTCTATGAATTATAAGACAAAATTTGTAGAGGATTATTTCGTGTTATGAGAATACAAAAAAATTATTTGGATGAGGTTGAACTTTATCTACTTATCAAGAGTTATAATTATTAAAATCGAATATTAGTTACATGAATATGAATATGCACGATCTGAAATTTAAAACTTAAAGATTTCAGAAATGATATCAATTATCAACTCATTTTCAAGGAAAAATGTGAGATTCTAATACAACTTTCACAGTGTGAAATTCAATAAATTTTCTATTTGGAGCGTAAAACTCATTAAAGATTGAAATACTTGTATAATCAATCTCATTTCTTGTATTAGATACAATTAGAAACTACTTATCAAAATTCTGAAAATTCTATTTTTTATAAAATATTATAATTGAAATCATCAATATTTTCCAAAACATCCATCAAGATTGCGTAGATTAGATCATATACATATATATGAATAAAACTAAATAGATGATATATAACTAGAATATGAAAAATCCAACCAAACTTCACAAAAATTGAAATAGCTTTAATAGTTCATGTGTGAACCATTATAGATATAAATTACGAATACTTTAACTATTCATAAACATTTCTGTTATTCTTAACTTTGTACCTGCGAAACAATAACATGCATAGTGATAGCCAGCCGTTTTGATCTTGATGTAATTCTTATCTTTAATTTACCATTTTTGTCAATAATTAACTTATATGGTAGTACTAATACGATGACGATTGTCATGTGTCATCCATTTTGAAGTGATGTAGAGGTGATGTGTAATTCGCGAGGAACATCACAATGAACGCTTTCATATGATGAAACTCAAACTTAGAAAATAAAATTGAAAATTAAAGGAAGCAAATATCTACGTAATGTGATATCACAACGTGTGTATGATTTAAGAGCGAAAAACACAACCTGCCACATCCCCATAACTAGACAATTATGTTGTATAATGCATCACATCAAGTAAAGGTGCTACTAAAACATACCACGTAGTGTAACAAGAAGTACCCTCAAAACCAGTACTCATCAAGTGAATAGACACGTTGATAGAAGCAATAAGAATATGTAAATAAGCAATAAAAGTCCAAATAAATTAAAGACTTATAAAACCAATCATCAAAGTAATCATTTATCACTGTTCGCGATGATACTTGTACTTCTTAATTCATCAAAGTTATAAAATAGTGTAAACCAACTCGCTGTCAAGTAACAAAGATAACTCCTATGGAAATTGCCCGGAACATGATGATTTCTGCAAAAACTTTATGCACGTCGGCGAGGGATGACGAGCATTGAAGGGTCCGTAACCAAGAGAAGACTATCTCAACTTTTCAAGCTCAAAACTTTCCAGAATATTCGAAATCTATGCATAGATTTGGCTGAGCTCGTCGGTCTACTGCAAGACTTCCCATAGCATCAGCAATCTCTGTAGCTGTGGATGAGCCCTCTACAGTCGGAAGTGTACGTCGAGGTGCCTTTGGAGTAGGGAGCATTCTCCGGGTGGGGCATTTTTCCAATCACTGCTTTTGCAATCGCTGAACAATTTGCACTTTCCCACTGCCTGGAGCGGTGTGTGAATTTCGTTACCCCTAGTCTGGAATAAATTCTCTCGTTCTCTCATCAGGAAAGTGAAAGCGATGTCTGCTAATGAAATTATGGCAGGCCGCCTGCAGCCGGCTCTAAATGAGGCAAATGCCATAAATGTTGAAATTCTCACTGGCAACCGGGTGCTGCTATGATGGCAATCATCGCCTGCTTGATCCTGATCCGGAACCCGAATAGACTCCCTGCTTAGCAAAGCTCTACGACATGGTTCTCATGAATTCTCAAATTCTCAGCGTGATTGACATTCAGCTTCTTCTCATGAAACGTCACCGCGTTGTCTTCGAAAGCTCGAGATCTGAATCCGGTGGAGTTTCTCGTCTATTTCGCGATCGGCGAAAACACAATCATCGAGAAGAGACGCGGATCTCGCTCTTCGATGACGATCTTGGAAGGTTGGGCTGCTCGGCATCTGGAATCTCGCGCAGAAGCAGCTCAAGCAGCATTCCCAGGAATTGGCAATATATCACGGCCTTCTTTGAGCCAGCAGTCGTCTCGGCCCATGTAGATCCAGCTCAATCCGATCCCGGTGTACATGTAGATCTCGACCTGGGCTTCGACTTCCAACAGGAGCCCTCCGGCCTTATCGTGGAGGGATCCATAGAATGCCCTGACTACAATGTCCCCTTTCCTCAAACAGTCCTTGGTCCTGGGGCTGAACCAGGCCAGCTTCGAAGCGTTGTCTTCCGACAGTAATTGCACGATGAGATCGCCACGACGAGGCACAAAGAATCGGCAGTGCCGATCGATGTTCACCCTGTCGTGCATGTGCGCCGTCAGAGGGAGCAGGTCGACGAAGTTGTCGACCATGCCGATCAGCAGCCATCGCAGCTCGTCCGTCAGGAGAAACAACTTGTATCTGACCTTGAAGCGCCAGACATTGCCGTCCGTGAACTTGCCCAGCCTCAGGAGCAGGTCGCCGGGGCAGAATTGGAATCTCTGCTCGTTGTGCCTCTGCGTGTAGAACGCGACGTATCCGTTGTCTTTAGAAAGATGCGCCCTGGGGATCTTCACGATCATAATGTCTCCGGGTCGAGCCCAAAATGGAGGCTCTTTGATGCGCCCGAGAAATTGATAAATGCCCTGGTGCTTGAGACTGGAATCGAGGCGGATGATCGTGTGGAGCTCTGCAGGGGTGGGATACTCGGGATTCTTGGTGATGATGCCTGCCGCATCCATGTCCGGCTTTCTTGCAGGGCCTTGGACGGCGCAAATCCTCGAGACCGGAGATTTGGGACGTCTGAGGTTGCGCTGATTGGACGGATCGGAGCACATCATCGAATGGGGCCTCGAAACTTTCTCCGCGTACGTTTCTGATGCCGAGCAGAGCCGATAGTCGCATGGATTCGCGCTCCTCGGGCTGGGCGGCCTCGAGCTCGTCCCCACGCATCGGCACGAGTCCAAGTGCGTGGAACAAGGACTCCGAGACCGCGGTGGTCCTGAAGGTCCGTAGCACGGCATTCCAGCTGGGACGATGCACGCGGTGGGGCTCGGGTTGCGCTTGTCTCGACGGTTCCCGCATGTCGATTTGCCGTCGCAGCTGCGGCAACAAGATCGGCCGGGACTCGGCGATCGACTTGGTCCCATCACTCTTCGACGAGGTGCTGAAAATCAATGCCCGCTGTATACCCACAGCAAGTTCACGATCAAGAAGGAGCAATCCGATCTGGATAGACACCTCGATCGTTCTTCATCCATCTAAACCTCGATCGGAACGACAAATAGACTCGGCGATCGAACACAGCTTCTCCTTCGCTTCGTTCGACTTCCCGCCGCCGGCATTAACAAGAATGCCAATTAGCTGCCGAATGAGACTGATACACGGAGAAGCATACAGTCATCAGTTCAAAAAAGGGATTTCAAAAATTGCCCTCCCCTTTGCACTGGGATTTGAACGAGTGACTGCTCCGGACGAAATTTCTACGTGTGACCACTAAATACGATCTTCTTTTCCTTCCTCGTACCGGAACTCAAGACAACATGCCTCATCGATGGCCAATAATGTGCTCATGACAGTTTAGATAATGAATTTGATTGTGCTCGTAAAAATCTGCACACGGACGCGTGGGGGGGCTCGTCTTCGCGTGTCTGTCATATCCCACGCCCAATTTCGGAAGATGAAATTCGAGAGAGAGAAGTGTTGGACATTGAGGCGAATCTTCTCGACGAGAATCATCTGACAAAAATGCGCGAGGCACGGTCATCAGGACTTACCAGATGGACGATTTCATCGAGAGAATGGTGGGGCGACAATTGCACGCATGGCTCCTACGGCTTCATCGGAAGTCGATCGCCTGCGAGCGCAGAATCGCGTCGCGCTCGTGAGCCAAGTGCTGGTCCATTCCCTGAACCTTCGGCGTGCCCGCCATCCAAGAGATCTTGGCTTTGCGTCCGTCACTTCATTCCTCGCTTCCTTCCACCGGACCCTCTGCCATTTGCGCCCCTTCAGTTCTAAGGCTCTCCTTTTGCGGCGTCCTCCTCCGTCTTTGCCTCTCTTGGCTTTCTGCACATCTTCATACGTCACTGGAAGAGCGTCCGGCAGGAAATAGTACGTGGTCCAAGAGATATGAGCTTACTCGGTAACTCTCGAACAAGGTCTGTCATTCACAGTCAAACCACGTTGAGTGACAATGTCATCATCATCGTTCCGCAGACTCTTTGGTGCCTTATCCATTACGTCGTAAGCAAGGGTGCCTGTGCCTTTTACTAAGACTTGTGAGAATTGATATATTTGTTTGAGTGAGCATTGGTGTGCGTTGAGGTGGCTCTACTTGGTGTGCAATTTGAACTTGGTTCTATATAAGTAGATTACCCTCACTAATCTTGTTTCATTGTCTGTCCAAATGTATTCAAATCAGGTCTATTGAATTTTTTCAATTCTATAAAATTTTATATCGATTCAATTTAATCACCCGATAAAAATGAACATTGTTGATTTGATATACGATGATTTTTAATTAATTTATAATTTGAACAGATTTATTATTTAATCAGTATGATATGAAGATCATTAGCTACATTTCCATATCAGATATTAAATTTATATTTTTAGATGGATTATTCATTCCTATAAAAAAAAGGTATTTTTATTTTTATTTTTACATATTTATTATACAATTAATAATCATATCAATATCATCAACAATAAATAAAAAAAATATATATTAAAAATGTAAATCGATTAAAAAATATAAAAAAACTTACAGTAAATCTTACAAATATAATTTTGAGATTAATATTAATTACCAAAATTAACATCAATCAAATCACTATAATTCGGTTTAGCAAAACATATCTAGAAGTCATCACAGCGCAAGTTAAATCAGTGATGTCCAAACTCATTCAAATTATACATTTGTGAAGATTCTAAATGGCTACGCAGAAAACGATTAAAAGCATGATAGTTCATACTTACATAACGTAAAAACATACCAATGATCCTACCCACTCTCGAACATAATGAATATTCATATTCGTGGACGTACAAATTCGACGGTTTGATGCAAGAGCTCCAAATGTAGAAATACATATTTCTCTAACTTTGATACGATAATGAGTGACGATGACCAATAATTGTAAATCTTTATATCTAACAAAATATATTTTATTTATGTTTAAATTGCTTTGATATTAACTTGTGCTCCACACAGTGAAACAATCAGGTATTTTAATCTGACATTTACTGTTTATATTGTAGATGTTGTGTGTTATGTTTTCATCCTCCTATTTTCATACCGTCTGGGGATGGTTTTCGAGAAGAAATGAATGCATTTTATCACTTAACGCTACTTTCACGACTCTGGTCTGTGATGCTAACCCACAAACTTTCAATACTATCTACGCTTATCTCATATGAGATCTTTTAAAAAAACTGAGGCACAGTCCCATCCTTTTTTGTGTAAGTTTGTTGAAATACTCTGGTTATTGAGACAAAAGTGCTTAGTTCAGAATCCCGACACAATGTTTTCTTGCTTTTATCATTTCCTTATCATTGTACTACAGTTCACGTTCTCTGTGAGTATTCGAAGAATTTCACTGTTGAGATGTAATAATATCGACACGATTTGATGTGTTGTAACATAATACAATAAGTGTTGACGTTTAGTACATTGATTCGGTAGTTACTATGGTGGAGTGTACACAATAATATGTTGGCACATTCAAACTTCCTACGTTTTGTTTCTTCGTATAAGAGTACGCAATAAGAAGACAGCAGTCTCGAGATGCATAGTCTAACTTTCGAGAACATTCTTCTCTAGGTGGTCATTGCCTCCACAATTGCACACAAATAATCATTGAGCACACACTCATCCACTCACATTCTGGACACAATTCAGCTGACAGGCACGAGTTCTAGACACAGAAGACCACCTTAACATTTATAAAACTGGAATAGGAACAAGACCGCCAACCTCGCAGTGACTGAAATCTAGACAGCGAGACAGAATATCTGATGCGCAATCATTTCTCCGCTAAAACTTTTTCTTAGCCGTCAATCTCTCAGTCAAAATTTGACGGTGTAACAAAACAGGAATCTATAACTCTAATTCGGGCTCTAGGCAGATCCGCCTCTGCAGGTTGTGCAATGTGATAATGTATCAAGCTAACCAAGTGCTGACGGCACTTCCATTCCTACAGTCAATAATATATCGCTCGACGGGCTATTTTACAGCTCGGGGATTACTAGCTATTGGAAGGATTTTACGAAGGCCAGGAGAGAGTCCACGTCCCTACGTTCCGAGGGGTACTTGACAACCGCCCTGGTTCCCCTCGGGAAGAAAAGAATAGTCGGGAAGGTTACAAGCTGCAAATTCTGCTGAGCGTAGGCTTTTTGGTCTCCATCGGCCCTGAACTTCCCAACCTGCAAGCAAAAATAATCCACTGATTAGCATTGGATAGGCTATGATATGAGATCTTCATGCACACATCCCACAGGGCGATAGCAAAATGGGAGCAGGCTGAGGCGAAGAATGTTCACTCACAAGAACTGGAGAGTGTTCGAGAGTGTCGGCCACTTGGTTGAAGGCTTCATCCATGGCCTGAGAGTACTGGCACCATGGAGCATACAGAACCACAAGACCTGCTTTGTCCCTTGGCTCCGCGGTGGCCCTTTCGATTTCTTCCCTGCTCAGAGCAGTGACGTTCTTGCCCGTGAAGATATCTTGTACTTCGACGGCAGCTCCGATGCCACTCTCTGTCGTTTGCTGCTCGTTCAGATTGCCCTGCACCGACGAGAAAAATGAATTATGATATGGAACTGCAAATCTTACGAGCCAGAATGTCTCTATGGGTGACGATCATGCTGAGCGGCCTTTTCTCCGTGAGAGACGTGTCTACACACGAAGAAATTAAAAACCCTTTCGGTCCCCTCGTGAGCTCCGATAACAGACGAAAGACCTTCCGCACGGACAGTGCCCGACAAACCCATACTTTCAAAGCTAAAACATTCCCTCAATTGTTTTTTGAACTTTCAAGGCAGCTTGAGGCAAGAGGGACGTGGGCAAAGAGCCTCCCCTCCACGTAATTCCCATCCTCGTCCACCACAAATTTCCACTCTCTGCTCCGTGTTCTATTGCTTGAAAATCAGACATGAGTCCTTGTTGTACCTTGTGCAGACCGCATTCCTTAGCGGTGGCGTCTTCCCACCACCATCGACCTTCTCGCTCGTGCTGGCCTGGGAGGACAGGTCTTGTGCAAGGTTCACAGCCGATGGAGACGTAACCCTGCGAGAATGCACGTGGATGCAAAATTACTCAGAGAACTAGTGCCTCGGTAAATGACAGGTAGGATTGCCTTAGAACAACCATAATTCACGCTAACAATACTTCTCAAGTCTCCGGAGGTAAAATGAGATTACGATCCACTCGCTCGGACATGGTCATCAAAGTACCTGCGAGTGGAGAGCATTGATGGGGACGTTCATCGTTCGCAAGAAATTCCACACTTCTGCACCGGTCGCGGCAGTGAGGGGGTTGAACTTGATGAGACTTCCAGGACCTCCATCGAGACCCTCGAATGCAGGATCGACCTGTGCCCAAGACGATGCGACAGGTCAAAAAATGAACCAGTTTGTGGATGCTGGAAAAAAGCTCCGACCAAAAACAAAAAAAAAAAAAAAAAAAAAAAAAAACAAGAAAAGAAGAAAAAATATAAACTGCAACGAAAGCCCTTCCCTGGTAGCTGGCAACGTCCACAATGCACCCTGGCACTAAGGTACCTGGTACCAGGGTGTACTGGTAGTTGGTAACGTCCACAACGCACCGTGGCACAACATCAGAGCATGTTATGGGAGCCGAGGAGGGTGGGGCGGGGGGGTGGAAAGACCGGTACCTGGACGACGGGGACGTTGGCCCTGGTGCCAGGGGACTGATCACGTCGCTGTCCGGTGATCCAGGCTCGGAGTCCTTTGAGCGCTCGCCTGAGAGGTCTGACCTTGCGAACTCTGCAGCACTCCTGGTGACCGTCCTGGTAGAAGGAGAAGAGTCCCTTCGCTCTGACGAGAGCTTCAACCTCCGACGCGTCGGGGAACATGTACTCGATATGGATGTTATACTTTTTCTCCACCTCGTCGAACAAGCGGTAGGTCTCGGGGTTCAGCCTTCCGGTTTCCAGACTGAACACTCGGTACGGCAGCCCTGTGAGATGTGCGTACTCGATGAGCGCGACATCCTCTGCTCCACTACATGCACGGATAAATACAAGGCGATCAAATTCAGCGTGAAATCTCTCATTCACATGAAACACTCTGCTGCGCAAGCGGCCGGCATACATCTCAGGCCAAATTGTACGAGGTAGAGTCATCTCTTGACCGACGTGACTCTGACTAATGAGCTTCTGGCATTTCCGCCAGAGGCTCAAAAACCCCATGACAAGCTCTGAAAATGGTGGGGGAATATCCGAAGTCATTCGAGGGTTTGAAGATTTCAAGAGTGTGCTGAAGTGTGGTCTGAGCGTGTACACTGGTACTCATCAATTCCCTTGCGATCCCCAGGGCTTGTACTTCTCAAGGGATTGAAAGGAGAATCTTCCCATCTAAAAATCGGAGGGGTTGAAATCCGGCTACGGAACTCCAGAAATCTGCTCTGGATTGAACGTACCAGATTCCAACGCAAGCTCAAATGCCCTCGCAGCTCGACTCGACTCTTTCTAGCTTACGATTCACAGCTGGACGTGTCACCGAACGACTGTGAGCAATCCACATGATTTTTTTCATGCGCAAGAATTTCTTGCGAATGTGGATGAAAGGAACGATTCTGACCACTCTCCGCATTCTTACCTGAAGGCGATGGCAATGTCGTTGCCGAACATGGTCAGGGCCTTCTGCATAATCTCGAACGGGGAAGCTCCCTCCAGCGACTTGTTGAGCTCGTCCCAATTTTCCTGCGCCACTTCATTCCCACCCGCCGCCGCGCCACGCGCGATCAGAAAGCTGCCCCTCTTCCCCCTCGCCCCCTAGAATCCGACAACTCCGTCGGCCGCTCGAAGCCAGAGAAGGAATTCAAGAGCAAATTGAAATTCGAAAACCCCCCGGGGAATTCCAGAGCGGGCTGTACCTGGAGCGGCGACGGGGGCAGCGGCCGTCGCCGGAGGCGCGGTGCTGGCGGACGGACGGACCGCGGGCTCCATCGGGTGGGAGCCGAAGAACTCCTTCCTCAGCCCATTGCCGCTCGCCTTGTTCAGGCCGCCCAGCTTCGCCAGCCGGTGACTGTCACCTGCACCACCACACCCAGCGTCATCCATCCCGTCTGATCACCGAAAACCCGCTCGCGCTGCGTTAAGCTAGAAACGACGGCGACGGCGGCCCCGGTTCTTGCGTAACGCATGAACAATGGGACCGCCATTCATCATCGCATTTCATTCAGGAAGGGAAGGGGAGGGGAGGGGGGGAGGAATTGTGGCCGCCTCGTGTAGCGACCACGGGGTCGATGGACCGCTCGATTCGGCCCGCGGGAGAGATGCACCAGCGATTCATGGAGACTCGCAAGGGGACCGATGGAACGGGACGGGCCATCTACCCCGACGGCCGGGGGTTCGGGGGGCGACGAGACGTTGGGCGCGAGGGAGGAGGCAACGGTGGCGGGGGCGACGACATTGCCCCGGCTCGTTCTTGGCGTTGGAACCCGGTTCTTTTCACGCTAAAACCCACATTCGATTCATCTTCAAAGCAAAGCGAATGGAAGCGGCCCGAGCGATTTATTTACCAGAGAGCGCGGAGGCGCGCTGATTCAGCTTGAGACTGGCGCCCACCGCCGGGTGAACGGGGAGTCGCAGCGCCATCCCGACGGAGCAGAGCCGAGTGGAGAAGAGCGGAGCGGAGGCGGAGCAGATCAGACGCCTGAGATGCTGTCTCTGAGACCAAAATTCAGCAGGCGGATCAGCAGAATCGACAGATCACGGGGTGGGGAATCGGTTCGGTCCTGGAGCACGCGCAGCTGGAGCAGCTTGAGAACTGCGAGACTCCGAGACCTCGAGCTCTTTATCTCGTTCCGAAAGGAGGTGCCTCGGCGTCGGGGAAGAAGTGCGGTCAGAGACCGAGAAACGACCGAGGACTCAGACGAACTGATTTCTTCTAGCCCCTAGGGGTCTCTCCCTTTCTCTCTTTCTCTTACTCTTTCTCTCGCGCTCTCGCTCTCGCTCGCTCTATGTGTCTGCGTGGGATTGAGTGGCTAGATTCAATGGAACCGAATAAACTTGAAACCAAAGAGTGGGATTCGGAGGCGAGCTCGGGAGGCTTCTGGGGAAGAAGCACACGCTCCACACACGCACTGCTGCGCTGGCATCGGAACAGGAGCCCGAGGTCTTCACCCTTGTCTTCTATGCTTCCCCTGTACCAGCAGTGGCTGCGCTTGAAGGGCCGTGACACGAGACGAATCTCCGAGCTTTTGGATAACAATTTGTCGTGACTCTTCACTCCTTCAAAAGTCCATGAACGACCACCTCTTCTCGCAAACTGCTACTCCTCCTCCCACTACTCCCACTAATCCCTCTTCAGCTGCCCATTCTCACTCTACCCCCTCCTCCCTCCTCCCTCCGCCACCCACCTCTCTGCATTCGTCCACTATTACATTCCTCCTCTCTCAAATCAATCCATCCGACATGAAAATTTAATCGCCCCCTTCCCGTCCGATCTCGACACCCGGTCAACTCCCCCTCCCCACTCCGACGAAACGCTCGGTAGCACCCCCAGCACTACGACGAGAGCGGAAGCGAAGGTTCCGTGTCTCCCCGGTCTCTCTCATTGGGCCCGGAGCCCGGCCCAGCCGGTCAAGCTCCGAGCTCCTCCCACGACGAGATCGATCGATCCATCGCCGGCCGCCGGAATCTGTAGAGCATTTGATGGTTGGGCCTTTTTGCGCAACCGGGTGATGTGGTGACCGAGACCGGCTGGGCTCGGGCCGGCGAGGACTTGCGAGGCGTTTGCGTGGTTGGTCTTCGAGTCTGCGGGTGTCACACTCGGCTCGTCTAGCTCCTTCTCGAGCAGCTTCCCGAATTGCTCACGCAAAGGCGCTACGACTGTAGGAGAGGATCTAGGCCCACAAAACCCCTTCCCCCGTGCGCCCTTGCTTCAATTTTTGTGTCGCAGATTGGCTCTGGGCGTTCGTGTGTCCTCTTTTTATTGAGCGCATTCGCTCGCTTTACGCTACGGGCTTCGAAGTGAAGAGACCTTCCTCTTGATCTTCTGGAGATGCTCAGCTTTGGAGTTGCATTCTTCGTCGATCGATCTCATGGGATCCAAGTAGATTACTTTAAGAGTACCCATCAAGCTCTATGAACAAGAAGTTCATCAGCAAACCCCTAGTACTATCAGAAAAGAAATATATGACTACATCCAATTATTAAAGCAATATGGTCGACAAATATAAGAGCATCACAATCGCATAGCCCGATGTAATTGTTTAACTGTGTATACACTAACACACTGAAAACACCTTGCCCGAACATATACTTAACAATATGCCAAAGATAGTGAAATCACTATCAACTGGTTACAAGAAGCTATCGCGTGTAAACGTGTCCAAATTTTCTTCAGTTCAATTACCAGATGAACAAATAGATAAATTTTCTCGGTGCCGCTATAGTTGTGTATATCTAGCATGATGAATAATCACCTCGTCTTGAAGTCGTGAAATCATTAAGATATGTAATCATCAACTCTACGATTTCAAGTTAGTTCGCCTAAGTCAAATGATAACTGGCCTTGGCCTAGAAATTTGAGCTTATTAGAATTTAAAGTTTGATTTCATGTTAGTTATCCACACTCAGCCGCTCATGACCAAATAATTCTAAAGAAGTAGCTACACATTGTTACTTCGATGTGAGTTATCCACACTTGCCTGTCATCACAAACACAGCCTCCTTTGAAGTATCACCAGTATCTCTAGAGTGTTTACTTGAATACTCATGTCAGTACTTCTTACATGTAAAGTCATAACTTGTGAACAATAAAAATGCGAAAATAAAATCTGCACTTATGTAGATTCTAGTCAAGAAGATATATGACTTTACTATCACGTTGTAGAACCAAGAATTTAAAAAAGTAAGATTCATGCCGTATGAATACTATTGAGAAGCAAAGAAGATGTCACATGTTGCAACGCATCATAAAGACTATTTTTGATATAACGATGAGACAATACTTTATCGTCAAGGGTATCCAATCGGAAACCCTTGACGATAAAATAAAACCACAAGTCAGGATACTGAGAGGATTTAAGTAATCGCAAATTATCTCATGGCCAAATAGAGATAAATGAATTTGAACCCCGCCAGTCGGAACCTTGAAGAAGGGAAGATATGATGAAAGATTAGGTGTAAAGAATGGACTACATTCTCCACATTTGTAGACTGTACTTTGTAATTTCCTGAGCACCATATGTTCATGTGCGTAATCGTATGCGGGGAAGAGTTCACATTGGGACGGTGGATCACAAAAGTACATGCGATTGGCCAACGAAAGAAAGTGATCGGTAGTATGCAGCGAAATAAATGATGGATCTCCTAGAGGACCTTCCATACACCGATGACAGTTATGCATATGTTGCAGTTGACAGTTATGTTATGTATGTTGCAGTTGACTGTTGTTCTAGTGTGATGGCTGTATAGCAACGAATATTCATGCTACGGAATCTCGAACGAGTGGTACGAACTAAAAACTTGGCGAAGCTGTGTTTGAGCTATTCCCTCCATCGATCCATCCAAGTGTATAAATATACCGAAAGTAGCAGCGATCCAACTGACAAATGACTTTATGCCTATTGTCGTAGAGGCTGTTTCCTTGGATGATTATGTTTCTTGGGTATCCAATAAATTAGACTAGAAAGCAAACACCCACATCCTCATTGGAGGTAGCAATTGTTACTGACAGTGGAAAAGATGAAAAAAAAAAACCATAGATATGAGAGAAAAATACCATGCAAGTTTAGAATCTAAAAATTGTCATTTAGGGTGATTGCATGAACCCTAGTGGTTACTTTAAACAAGGATAAATAATAGAATAGTAAAACTTGGGGCATAAAATGAGAATAGAACAAGATGCAAGAAGTTTACAAACTAATGCAGGACATCAGACCTTAATTCATGGAGGAGAAGCATCCTGCTTTATCACTACCATGTGCATAGATACACATAATATTACACATATGCATCTTTGCGCTTGGGGCAATGACGCAGTTAGTGAAACCGAGACGCGTCAATTGCTGGTTGAAAACTATTTCCTAATAAGCTAAAGAATCAGACTTTGGTATGTGCCGGATGTTAAGGATATCTAACGTAGAGGCTGTTTGAGGAGAATCGCATCGATCATTCACTGTATATCACGTTTCCCAGGCATAGAGAAGCCCATGAAATTATGTATGAAATTCAAATAAACATTCTATCACCGTTATAACTGCTGCACAAATGAAGTGTGGAAGCATGATATCATCCACCTGATTGTGTGTTCCCTAGCTGTATTCTTCTGTTCATGGACGCAGTCGATAGCAATTTTTTTCATATCATTTCCTGGATAATAACAATTAGTTTTAGGGTAAGAAATCATTTGATAATTTTTGTTCAATTATTTTCGGAAGATTAATATTACTTAAGTATATGTTCTTATAATATTGTGTTATTTTTTTTAACATAACGAAAAATCTAACGTTTGTTAGAGATAATCCAACTCTAAAGATTTTCTGAGAGAGTTAAGAGACTCTGTAAGTTTATTCAGGTCTTTTTTCGTTCTTTTGATTTTTAAATGCAATATATTCATAGAGGTGTATAACACTATTCCTTGTGTTTTACAAAATGATATTGTGGAAGAGACAAACGAAGACAGCCCGTCCAGAGTAACGACGGGAAACTGCAATCCAAGTGCTTGCTAGACCCACGGACCGGAGAAAGAGAGCGCTCGAGCATCCGGCGGATCGAAACTCGGACCTCAAGGGGCCCTCTGCCTCTGCCCTCTGCCCTCGTCGTCGTCGAGCCAACGCTCGTGGATGGCAAGCTGGCGTACGGAAATTGGCGCCTTTGAGCTCCGTTCCGTCACGGTGTCTGCATCGTCCGTCCAGCCGGCGGGCGCTAGGGACGGTGGGAGCGACGGAGGGCGGGCAGCTTCTTCGGATGCCTTTGTTCGTCTCGAAGAAGATCGGACCTCGCGGATCTCCGACTGACAGTCGTCGAGTGGTGAGTTTGATCCTTGTCACTGAGAATCAGGAGAAATCGTCCATAATGTCTATCATTGAATCAACAATAGGTTTTCGAGAGTCGTATAGTAATCGGGAATTGAGAGTTGCCGGTGCTTGAATGGCCTTTTCGGTGACTGGATCTCAGATTTCTCCATGAGGTGGAAGATTTGGGCAATTGTAGATCGGGAGAAGTCATCCGCTGTCTGGAGGTAGTTCTCATTGCTGTTCTTTGTTTAACCTGTGATTTTGCTGTCACCCAGAAATGTTCGTCATGTAGGCGCGGGGATTAAGATATGTAAGCCAGATGATGATGAGTTTGATCACCTCGAGCTGTGACAATTAGATTATGGGTAACAATTAAATGGCAGATCTTTTGAATCAACATGTCACCTATTCTGAACAATGTGCGCCAAAATAGAAAATGCTAGAGTTTGAAGCTCCTTTTTTGTGAAAGTCATGGAATGTTTCTTTTTCTTTTGTTTTTGTTGTTGTTCGGTCTGCCGGCCACAAGTTTGAATTTTAAGGCAGAATCACATTCTCGACGACATAATTCTGCACGTGAAAGCTACCTCAATAACTTAATCTGCAGCTTGTGTTTTCTCAGCTCTTGAAGGTAGCTAGCACATTCGAATGTACTCGGCTGTGGTATGCAAGATCTTGTATCGTAACACGAGTCATATAATTTTTGAAAGATGTTCAGAAAGCAGGACAATGATTCTGAGATTTTGAGCTTGGCTCGCCATTGTCACCTTTGTGATTTCTTGTCTCATTCTCCACCCGAAGATATTGGCAACACTGATTTCTGTGGAAGGTTTTCATGTCAAGAAGAATACTTGGTGCCTGTCGAAGGAATGAGTATAGGCAAACTTGCCGCCAGAGATGTTGCAGAAGGAATGTTAGAGTTGAGGTTACAAAATAACGCATTTCATTGTTTGCATTACTATGTTCTTTCACCTGTCACCCTGATTTGCTTGGTCGAGTCCCCTGTAACCGAACAGATTCTTTTTACCCACGAAACTCTGTTCCATAATCATGTGGTCTGTCACCTCGCAAACTCTGCATCAAAGCCTCACTGAACACAATGAAGTGAGTGTTCATAAAAGTTGTCGGTAGAGCCCTTTACCATGAAATACTGATGCAATGAGCATATTGATTACCGATAAGCGCCAGTAGAACCACTCCCTACCGATAACGCCTTACAATTCACAACCTTCCTGACTGGATGCCCTTGCGAATAGCTGAGAATGCGGATGATCATCAGAGAGCATTTTGGAATGCAACAATTTTTGAGATTGTGGAGGTTCGTGATGAGCAGTGGAGAAAATAGTTCGAGCATTATCTGATCTCTCGGAGATGTTTGTGTTTTTTACAGTGCTGGTAATCTCCGAACACGTCATGGCAAGTGGTTTGCGGACCCTCGAAGTCAGCGGCGTGGGTCACTGTGATCAAGGGCACATGTAGTGCCTGTTTCTTAGAAGATTATCTGCACAGGGTTTACGACTTAGAACTTACTTCCATGGGAACTTCTGACAGACCTCCAGCCCGGGCTGGAGCTTGGGCTGTTCCGCTGCACTCTCGCAACCCCGGCCAAGGTTCAGCGAGTTCTAGTGCAACAGTGTCGACGAGCAACCAAGTGTTTGCTGCTGATAGAAATCTCAGCAACAAAGATGTGACCAACAAGGTTTCAGTAGCAGAGTACGAGGATTCTGACAGTAGTGAAGACCATGAAGACGGAAAAACAGATGTGGAAGCGCTGCAAGCGGCAATCTTCGGCGAATACACCGGAGGTGAAAGCCTGGATGATCTGAACGATGCTGGCATTGCGAAAATTCGCGGTCTTCTGGTTGCAGCTCGGAGTGGAGGAACTGCCTGCCTCATATGCTTGGAACGCGTGAGGGCAACCGATCATGTGTGGGATTGCAAGTCTGGATGCTATGCTATCTTCCACATCACGTGCATACAATCATGGGCAAGACAAGCCCTCAATGCGGCAGAGCTGAGAGCTTTGAACAGACTGTCTGCCGAAAGTTTCCCAGGTGCAGCAGCTGCAAGTGTCCGCTGGCACTGTCCAAAATGCCGTGCAGAATACACGAGCTCACAAATCCCCCGAGAGTATCGTTGTTTCTGCAGCAAGGAGGTGAATCCAGGCTCGGATCCTTGGCTCACTCCTCACACTTGCGGAGAAAGATGTGGCAGGCAGCTCGACGGAGACTGCGGACACGAATGCAAGCTCCTCTGTCACCCGGGGCCATGCCCTCCGTGCCCGCAGCTGGTACGAGTGTCATGCTTCTGCGGTGCCAAATCCGAGGTCCGTCGATGCGGTCGAAGCAAATTCTCCTGCGAGAGCCCGTGCAGGAAGACTCTCGCATGCAGGAAACATGTCTGCGAAGGAAATTGCCACGACGGAGACTGTGCACCCTGCACCAAAACAGACAAATACTCGTGCCAATGCAAGAAGGAAGTAGCAGTCCGCCCTTGTGTGGATTCGGTCTTCCGGTGCGAGCATCCCTGCGAGCGAGAGCTCAGTTGCAAGAGACATGTCTGCGAGAGAGGGTGCCACGCAGGAGCATGCGGCGAATGCAAACTGGCAGGAAGGAGGAGCTGCCCCTGCGGCAAGAAAGAGTACAAAGGCGTGGGCTGTGAAAGGGCCGTTCCTACTTGCGGATCAACGTGCGAGAAAATGCTGTCCTGCTCGAAGCACCGGTGCCAAGAGCGTTGCCACACGGGGCCTTGCAACACCACCTGCCGAATCGTTCTCGTCAAAGCCTGCCATTGCGGTGGCCTCAAAAAGGAGGCAAGTCGATTCCAACTAGTTTCTCACCAGAGTCTCATTTTCTGTGGATCGTCCTTGTTTCAGTTCTGAATTGTTTTGCGTGCAAGTGCGGGTATCTCAGAGATGTGTTCAGCTGAAGAAGTTTTTGCTGTATTCTTGTGACAGGTTCCATGCCATCAAGAGTTCATGTGTGACAGAAAGTGTCAGCGTATTCGCGATTGCACCCGACATCCTTGCAGAAAGCGTTGCTGCGACGGCGATTGTCCACCTTGTCATGAGGTGATTTGACAGAGCCCGGATTTCGTGCCTACACCTGCTTCGATCGAACGCTTATGACGTCTTTGGAATGTTTCATGGCCTGTGGTGAGCACCCGAGGACTCCAGCAGCTGATCCTTCCTCAAGTGGTTGACGCTCTGTTGTTATGCTCGTGTGTACAGGTTTGTGGTAAGAGGCTCAGGTGTAAGAATCACAAGTGCCCAGCACCATGTCACAGGTACTTAAGCTGGTGAGCTTCTTGAATTTCTGACCTAATGTTAAAGTCAGAGCGCTGCGGACCTTTGAATGGGCAGCAGTGGCTTCACAATGTACACGTTTATGTTGTCCTCTTCGAACGAGCCTTTGCTCCTTCCTTTCAGTTGAGTCAGTGGAGCAAGCCTTTCAAATGACTCTTATCCTTATAAATGCCTTTTCTCGATCGCTGAAGTTCGAGGTTCAACTTCGTGATGAATCACGACCCCGCTCATACGATGTCTTGTGTGAATGACAGAGAAGCATGCGCTCCTTGTCCCGTCTCAGTACGAATATCGTGCGCATGTGGGGTGACCTCATTCGAAGTAAGCTTTTCCTTGTTTGTTTGAGGACCCAACAAAGTTTTGCAACCTGTGCTTCTAAGTGACGACTCTTGAGGTAACGAACGGGTTGCGTTCTCGTTCAGTTTTGCTCGCTGAATTTTGTCATCTAATAAAGTATAAATCTTTTTTTCTCCTTTTTTTTTTTTTTATAATGGAGAAGGTACCTTGTGGTATGGAGAAGGACCAGAAGCCCCCTAGATGCTCAAAACGGTGTCAGATACCTCCACGTTGTTCTCATGGTGCACTCTGTAAGGTTCGTCCTTGTTCATGCACTCGTGCCAATCACAAATAGAACAGCAGAGTACAGATTCTCTATTCGCCAGTTGAAGGTGTCGTCGCTTAGAAATGTATGGTAGACCTTACATTGGAAATCATATAGGGCTGTTCATTTTGTCATACGAAGTGAACGGCATAATGTTGTACATGGATGCTAGATGTCGTCTTTGCATCGAACTTCAAATTAGAAGTAAATGTTCTATGTGCGGCGACAGTAACTATCCTGCTTATGAAGGTGTGCTTTAAGAGAGGCAGTAGTGATGTTGTGGACTCTTGACTTTATTTATCGAAATGTGGCTCTGTGGATACTTATGCTTTGTATGATGTTTGTCACTGCAGCCCCATGCTTGTCATTATGGACCATGTCCTCCGTGTCAGCTTCCATGCAAAGCAGAGCTGCCATGTGGTCATAAATGTAACAAAAGGTGTGTACCATGATAAAGCGAGATAATGCGAATCACCTAGGATGTTTTAGTAAAAAATACTTGCCTTTTTCCATGTCGACGATGTTGTTTTAAAGACAGTACGAGAGGACTGTTTTGGCTTTCTTGTAAAGTTTTGATTAACTTTCAGATGTACAGGTGTCATGGACCGAGGCCAGTTCCAAATCCTGAGTATACGCTAAAACCAAAGAAAAAGAAGAAGGTTTTCGAAGATCCCAATGCAGTCATGGGACGTCCTTGCCCACCTTGTGTAGAGATCATTACTAAACAGTGCCTTGGCCAACACCTGGGGATAGAAAGAATGGTAATCTCGATTGATATTCAACTTGATTTTAGCATCACAATGTATGTATACTTTGGTTTTCCATTAGTAGATATTTGATCTCCCCAACGGAAAAATGATTTACTACTTAGATCTTCATTACATTCACGGCAGAAATACTATTGTTCAATTTATTTGACTTGAACGTGTTATTGAACATGTGTAGAAGATGCAGCACGTGATACTTTTCTTTGTCCCCACCACTCTCACCTGTGATCATTTGTGTCCAGATGGTGTGCTCAGAGGCCAAAGAATTTCAATGCGGAAATGCTTGTGGAAACCTACAATCATGTGGCAATCACTTCTGCAACAAACCTTGTCACTTCATTCAAACAGCTTCGGGGTCGGATAGAAGTATATCGTTGCAAGGGACAAAGGAAGCTGATTCTTCTGACACATGTGAGCAGTGTCCTTTAGAATGCCAGAAGGTATTTCCACACCTTTGTTTTCTCATTTGTGTCCAGTTTTTGACTAAGACTTGGGTGTTTCTTGCACTTTACTTCGCACCAACACTAGCTTAATCCGGGCATTTGGATACCATTGCGGGAAGAGAATAGAGTTTGCGGAGACTCTTGAATCCAAAGATGGTTGAAGACAGACGATGAATGATGGGGAACATCGACGAAAATGCTGTAACAGCTACAAGGGTTTTCGGTCTTGAACTGATTTATGTGCTTCTAATATGGCTGTAAATGCCTACGTGCAATGCAGAAACGTACCTTATGCCCTCATCCATGCCCGTTGCCTTGTCATCCGGGAGATTGTCCACCCTGCAAGGTTCTTGTGAAGAGAGGCTGTTATTGCGAGACCATGGTCCATGTTTATGACTGTGATAGTTTCACAGCTGCTTCTGCCAAACTAAAGGCCAAAATGCTCTCATGTGGAGGTCCTTGTCATAGGTATGCGACCAGTCACACTGCAATGATTGCTTTTACATGGATTAACATTCCCAGCGAGCGATACAAGAATCTAGTAACTTGGATTCATACTGTGCCCATCATGTCTTTTTTTTGTCTGGGGAATAAAGGTTTGTTCGAATTATTCAATGCCTCTTGTGCTTTGCATGAAGTTCTTGGCTAGCATGGGTGAAGCTGGTCAATCAAGGTTGTAAACTTGCAATGGTGATGACCCGGTCACTTTGCCAGGAGTATCCTTCAACTCGCGGGTCTGAATGTACTTGTCTTGTGTACAGGAAATTGCCAAATTGTGCTCATATGTGTTCAGACATATGCCATCTTGGTCCTTGTCAGATGGCTAATAGTTGTCGGAAGAAGGTACGACGTTACATCTTTAAGACAAATTTTTCTTGGTTTCTATGTTTGATATGAACTGCTTGCTTGATACTCCGACTCTCCTTTGGGTGAATTGGAACGTTACATTGTAGTTTGTTCTTCAAGCATGACCTTTGGAGCACAAATGTCATGCTTCAACTATGGTTGACAGGTCTTGTTTTCTGAACTCAGATGATGTTTAGAACTCATATTCTGCTGTGTTTTGTATTTTGTTTTACTTTGACGAAATTGTATATCATAGACAAATGAAACACTCGTTTCAGCTGACATACATTGCTCATTGTAAGATCTCCGTATCTGACATTTTCTTACTGATGACAGGTAATAGTGAGATGTGAATGCCAACGTTTGAAAAAAGAATGGCTCTGCTCTGAGGTACAAGGTGCTCAACGAGCCAGCCAAGAGGAAAAATCAAGAACGTTGATAGGTCTGCTACCCTGCGACCAGATTTGCTTGAAGTTGGCTGCTGAGAAGAAGGCCAAAGAGGAGACTGAGCAGCAACTTCGGCAAAGAAGGGCAAAAGAGGCAGAGGTAATTCAGATTGCGGTAAACTATGATCAACCACTGGATGAGTCTTTTGCCGTTGTAGCCTCTTTTTCACCTCGTAGTGAAAGTTTGGAGCAATGATTGAGCCTCCGGAAGCATATGAAGGTTTACACTTCTGGAGTGACCATTTTTCCGAATGAACACTCTGTTGATATGGTCATTTGTCGGAGTATAATGTGTTTCGACCTTATCTCAGGCCCAGGTAGCAACGCCGAGCTTAGGAAAGCGAAGGAAAAATCGATATCAGGTGGAATCTCAGCAAGAAACCACAAGGTTTCAGGTAATCCAAGCTGTTAATGCAAACAGGATTTCTGAACTTACCATTTCCTTTTATGTTCAGCCTATTCGACATCTTCAGGTTTTGCTATATTTGTATGATAAATGTATTTCAACCCTTATTATTATTCAATGAGCGTTTGGTGTGCCTCCACATTTGGCTTTAACCCGGACAAGAATTTGAATATCTGGATTCAGTTTGTAAATAAAGATTTGAAGTCGTATTGGTGTGTGATTAGTACATAAATAGTGGCAAGGAAATAGTCTGGAATTATCTCTGCAATGAACAAGAAGGCCAATAATATATTCAAATTCAGGAAATAGCATGAGTGGTATTATACCATGACATGAAGATTATATTGTTATTGTTAGCATCGGAAGTTGCAAATGGCTTTACTTCATGACATTATAAATTAAATACTCCTTGAATTAATCTAGTTCTGGTCGCATGTACATGAGGGCTGGTGCATATTTTTCGTGTTTATGGGTGCTCACATGTTGGTATTTCACGGATTGGGATCTCTTCGAGCTTGATACTCTCTGACTTGTCGTGGGCTGTTTGACATCAGGAATTTATGTCAGCTGCTAGAAAGGTGGCAACCGTTGCAGTCGTCGTTGTGCTCGTATGCTTGGTTGGATATTTTGGCTTTAAAGGGTTACTTGAGCTTAATACGTGGATGAATAGAAGAGACATAGAGAGAATGAAGAAAAGGCCTACATATGGCCCTCGGTTTTGATTTATTGAGTTAGTAGTCCATCAGTATTAAAGCTCAATCTTTAGTAGAGAACACCGCGGGCACTAGGTTTATTCTTCAGAAGCTCTGCCTCAGTTCGAATCCTTATTAGCAATTAGATCTAGAACTGACGGAATGGTATTGATGATCACGATTTGGAATGACAGATATTTAGGAACGTTTTTTGGAACCATACATCAAACATTCTTTATAGCACATGTGCGGATTTTTGGATTGAAAACTTGTGCAGGTTTTGTCAGATATATATATATATATATATAAAAGATGGAAAAGATTCCTTACTCCTGTAAAGACTTTAGACGTTTTGCAGGAGAACTGTTTGGGTTTTTTTTTGGATTTGTGAGATAGTCCTGAAGCTTTTCTTCTGACAATGCGTTTATATCAGACCTCCTGAAAAGTGGTATTTGCCACTTTTGCTACCTTTTTGTTAATTGTGGCACCCAATGTGTCATTTGTATTGAAAAACTGTTGTAACAGTCTTGAAACCATAAGAGAGGTCATTTCACGACAACAACGTCAGGCATGATCGTTTCAACGATGTGGCTAATTTAGGATGAGTCTCATGTCATGTTATGTTCATTGGACACCCATAGCCATCAATATGTGAAGAGAATTTAAAAGAGTCCATGAACAGTTGCATGATTGTTCATAATGACACACTAAAAGCACAAAGAGCTTGTCCGCCAGAAAAAATGAGTTCGAGGTTCATGATTGTAATGATGAAAGTATTAGATTTCAATTGATATTCAGTTGAAATCTACCACTTTCTCTTAATATTGCCAGTTCCCTCCAGACGTGAATTATATTTCTCCTTAAAATGTCAACCGAATTTGAATGACATCACCCGTCTCAATCCTAGGATTATGGAGAAATTAGATTTTATTACCAGAATATTTTGGCATTTGGAGTGTTAGAGTTATATGTATTACTTTTTTCTTTGGCTACAAAAATGCACATTTTTGCACTTCGAGCTCCATCGAGAAGGAAGAAGGCCATTCGTTCATCCCTCTCCAATTCTTGGGATGTAAATACGAGGTATGGCACTTCATTAACCAGAGTATTGATAGAAGGCAATATTTTATTTAAAAGTTCAAAGTTGTGAATTTTGTGATTGAACATCTACCCTACTCATTTAGAATCCAGATTATAAGGTTGATTTTTCTGTTGTAGAATGCGTGACAAATGCATGCTCTTTGGTTCTTTCATCCTCTTCTCATATAACTTAAAATTTCGCTCTTCCATCCATTTCTCACGCACTTAGTGAAAAATCCATTCCCAAAAACTAATGCGAAGTTCAGCTCCTTCGCAATCTACAAATTCGCGGCTGAACCTATTAGAATAGAATCCATAAGGTGATCATGATTTACTTCGAAATCTATCCATAATACTTTTTTTGAGCCGATTATGGTTCAAAAACAGAAAATATCTTTCCAGTCGCTTGCAACATATTGAAATCAATGTGGTTTAATACTTGTTTGGTTAATATAAGTACACAATCATTGTTCAATTTAAATTGTCGAAAATGCAACTTCACTCGGTCGAACATGATAATTTACCTACACATACCCATTTGTGTACTAGTACAAAGTATAAAATATTTCTTAGTTGACATTCAATTCTTTGAATGTGACAGCAAGACCAAGAAGAATGAAACATAACATCAAAAATCAATCTCAAAAATCTATTCAATTCTTGTTTGTAGTAAAACTTTGTGTCACAAAATGAAATAATTAATACGTCATACCGCAAGTGCATGATGTCATAATGCATGATGTCATAATGCTTGCTTGTCGTAAGATAAATACACAAACATTGTTCAATTTAAATTCTAGAAAGTGCAACTTCATTCAGTCAAGCGCTATAATTTAACTACACATATATATTCGTGTACTAATACATAGAATGAAGTACTTTCTAGTTGACATTCAACTCTTTGAATGTGATAGCAAGATTAAGAAGAATGAAGCATAACATCAAAAATCAATTGCAAAAATCTATTCAATTCTCGATTGTAGTAAACTCTATGTCACAAAATGAAATAACTAATACGCCATATTGCCGCATGTGCATGATGTCATAATGCTTTACTTGGTGTAAGATAAATACACAAGCATTGTTCAATTTAAATTCTAAAAAGTGCAACTTCATTCAGTCGAGCACTATAATTTAACTACACATATCCATTTGTGTACTAGTACATAGATAGAAGTACTTTCTAGTTGACATTCAACTCTCTGAATGTGACAGCAACACCAAGAAGAATGAAACATGACATCAAAATTCAATCGCAAAAATCTATTCAATTCTTGTTTGTAGGAAACTTTGTGTCACAAAATGAAATAACGAATAGGTCATACTACCGCACATGCATGATGTTAGCATGAGTCAGATTGTGCAAATTTGTTCGACGATTGTCTTTGTTCCATTTCATACAAAAGTAGTCGGATTTGATGGAACATGTGTTTGCAAAAATTGTTGCAAGATCTACATTGAAGTTTCTCAAGATTACAAATCGGCTAGAACCATGTTTGTTGATTGATTTGATCGAATTGCATACATTGATGAAAATTGTTTTCTTGTCGTCTTCACTTCATGCTCGTTATTTTGATGCATTCAATAATTTTGTGTGTTCATTTTCAATCTGATCAATATACTCTTGTGAGTAGTTTTCTACAACATGCGTTTGAAACCAATTTATATCTTCACTGACAAATTTTCACATCGACAACTTAAAAGCATTAGGTGTTATAACTGACGACGTTTCAAGCTCACGAATTGTTGTTTGAGTCGCTGAATCATGTACACTTGGGTTACAATTGATAAAGCAAAATATTCAATTATCTTGATAATTTTTTTTTGATTTTGTGATCAATTTCTAGAAATGATTCACGCTTTCATGAATCTTGATCATCAATATGATCACAAATCGAATCAAACGAAATACACATGGATGTATTTGAACAACATGGATATCATTGAATAGTTCGTCTTATTTTGAGCAAAATTGATTCTGCATATAACTGTCATTAATTTGTCTATTTCAATACCTTGTTGCAAAATGATCATGTCGCACATATGCAATCTCTTGAATGCAATTTTTTGAATGTGATGAATTATTGCAAAAAGTGTACTAAGGTAATCGACAATGATCCGCCATTAATTGGTCGGCGCTTGCACATACCGCTTTTTCTTGATGTGTTGACAAATTTGTTGGCGATTTTGTAAAACTCATTTGAGTAGACCATCAAATGCGATTGATCGCATCTTATCTTTGGAACATTTGGATACTCTCATGCTATTGATCACATTGACTTGCATTTGTAAATAAATTAAAAACGCATGATTTGTATTGTAAAAATTGCCATCTTCAATACCGTTGGTTGCTTGCTTAAACAATGATACATCATTAATTGGACGGCGCTTGCAAATGTCGCTTTTTCTTAATGTGTTGACAAATTTGTTGGCAATTTTATAAAACTCATTTAAGTAGACGGCCAAATGTGATTGATCGGTTCGTATGTTTAGAATATTTTGATAGTTCCATGCTATTGATCACATTGACTTGTGTCTGTAATTAAACTAAAAACACATAATTTGTATTGTGAAAATCACCATCTTCAATGTAGTTGGTTGCTTGCTTAAACAATAAGATCCAACTAGTGAGGATGATATCAAATGTGGAAATTTTCTTTTGAACACGTTTTGATTCAAAGCAAATCCACACAAGTGGATCTTCTCAGTATATTGGTTGAGACTGACCATCCCTCTCATTCTTATCATTTACAGTGAATCTTAAATTAGCATTTTGAAGACCGCTAGCCTGCTACTCCTTGCTCCAATATGAGATGTAATAATCTTCCTCGGTGGGCTTCAACGTGGAGAAGAACATTGTATGGAGAATTACCTGCTTTTACATAAAAGCATCAATTCTGCTTTTTTCTATTTAAAGCATTTTCAGATTGGCAGAATGTTTTGGTTGGGTTGTGTTTATTTTATGCTTTAAAGTGGAGTAATTGCAGCGGAGACAACAAGTCTATTAGAGGTGACTCTTGAGATCACACAGTTGATTGGAATGTTGATTAACGTCAAAATGATAAATAGATAAAGCTTTTCAGAAAACACAAAACAAACCATCCAACTCCAACCTAGGAGAGAATCAAAAGAACCTCTAGCTAGGGGTTCTTTTGGAGCTGTTGCGCACCAATGCTCAACTCCGAGCTTTGGCTTTGCTCAACATGAAAGCATCGAGGGACATGCCATGAAGACGAGAGACCAATTCTTCATGGAAAGATGCAACCTAAAAACTAACAGTAAATTTTTCATGGAATATCTCTATCAATCTTTCTCTTCGCGTCCAAGGCTTCATAGAAAATCCTCTTCACTAAGCTGTGAATAATCGCATGTTGAGTGCTAACCAGAAATGTATTTTAGAGGGGTAGCCAGAACGAAACAAAGATGTACGCCGATTACTTGTACTGAGCCATTTTAGCATTTGGTGCTTTTCTAGTGAAGTTCACACGGCTTGAAATATATTGCAGCAGTATCCTCAGCAGGGTTAATAATTATAAGGCCAATAAGGATTCTCGAAGGAATGCAAAATGGATCCGTACGTATGATTTTCAAAATGCTTTCTGATTCTGGGATACTGATTGACCCTGACTATCAATCTGGTGGCTTCCTGCTTCTTGCTGTGATGACATGCCATCAACACAAGTCAGACAGTACGCTAGCTAAATGCGAGACAAAAAACTTATCTTCTTGCAATTCTCGAATGCAGGGCTCTCTAGTTTTCGGTATGCCTGATTTTCATCACTTCGCGACTGGTGTCTCTATTTGTATGTTCTCCTTCTATCAGTTCGTGAATTGCGATTTACGCTGAGATATAAACAAAGCCCTGATATCACACCCTCTACGCTCAACCGCTTGCTCGAGACCATCAATTGTAAATCTGGGGTTCATAAAACGAACATGATTCAAGAGTTACAAAGCCAAATGAATGAACTGTGCTGTGATTGGTATGAAGCCCCAAGGCACCAACAGTTTCCTTCAGTCTTGAAAGCTAATTCCTGTCGCATAAGAAGGTACATGTCAAAGCTCACCCTCACATGCCACACAATATGGTCTCTCCAGCTTCCTATCGCGAAATGTAAATAAAAGATCCTGAAGCAAATGAACACTTATACAGTAAAAGTCACATCTATGTAAACCAGATTTTTCAATGGAGTGCTCGGAGATTGGTT